CTTGCTTATCTCTCTTTCCAACGGCTGAATGGCATACTCATACACGTTCATGTCCGAAAAGTCGGTCTATCATCACTATAGTCAGTCCGTGTCTTTGTCAACGGCATCCGAATTAAAGTAGTTGTTCTGGTTGCAATGGAAGGACTCGCCACGTGCTCGGCGTTTCCATCAGTCAGGCCAGATCACGAGCTTTTTGCCAATGGCAATCCGATAGACAGTACAGATTGCCGCGGTTCAAGAGATGGAGTTTCGTCCTAGGAATACATTCTCAGGTATCTATCTGTCGGTATGAGAATAATTAAACACGACGAGCTGGACAAGCAATTGTGTCACCTGTGCCTCGCTGAAAATAGCATCGACTAGCGAAACTAGCATTTGACACTGTCGCAATACCTCTTGGCACTGCCGAGACATCGGCACATATACTTTGGCCCAAAATGCAGTGCCGATCTGCTCTCTCAGGCACCAAAATTATATGCAGGAAAGCCGTTACCCGTTGATCACTTCCAAATAGTGGTGGTAGCGTGATCACGGCAAGCGCTCAAGTTGTCGTTTCTTTCCTCGCTTCCAAAATATACAATCCCAGTTGACTGGATTTTCCTCCTTTCTCTTCTTAACCAACGACGCCGACACCCGACCCCTTACTTACGACCAAGATGAGTATTACACTGATAACGGCGTCGAATCGGAGTCTCAGTATCCCGAAGATCAATCCGTCTTCGTCCCCCGACCCGGAATCTTGTACAATGATTGAAAGAGATGGATAATACGTTATAGTCCCATGTCTACTACATATATACTATGAGTAAATGGCCAACTTCGATGAGAATCGAAGGCTGGAGACCACGGCGACCTCAACTATGGACAATCATCACCAGGGACTAACCTCTGGGTCCAGTCGTGGCGTTATGAATTGGAATATGCACGCCGTGTCTCCACGTCGTACTTGAAAGATATATAGCCCAAGGCTTTGCTAGCAATTCGTCGCTGTCGACTGCCTGGAGCAGCAAAGACCGCAGGAGGCCAGGCAGGTCGGGCTCACGAGAGCGGTTTCCTGGAGGACTTCCTTTGGGGCGAGCGCTGCGAAATTACAAAAATCAACTCAACTTGACCTGCCGAATGTGCGTAGAAGTGGTAGAATCATAGGTAATATAGGCTGTTGCCCACAGCCGCACGCTGATGACTCCAGGCGACTGGGAACTACCAGCTGCTCCGAGGTCCCACGGGGAAGTTTCGCTGGAGAGGACCACGAGATCGCACCCAACTGAGTTCGCCACTCGTTTCGTTTCGGCGAGCATGATTATCTGCCTGCCAGTGTCATATTCGTGTCGTGTTCAGGAAGACGTTGCCATGTCATTTTGGTATCTCTAAATCGTTCAAGGCTGTTCAGTATCCCTATTCAGACTCTGTCTAGCTTCTCCCAGGACGGAAGATTGTTTCTGGTCAACGCTGTCTGACCATGGAGTCAAGTCCACTGGGTGGCGACGGCTAGGCGGTTCCCGAAAGCAATCCCTTGAAATAGGGCAACCCAACCCGACTATCACTAACGTACATGGTGCATTTCTCACGGCAGCCCTGCGCTTTTCTGCGGAAAAATTGGCATGTCGGGTGGCCTGATCGCGAGCAGGGTCTGGCCAAGTGGCAACATTCCCCTTCCAAGTCAGCAGATGAGGTCCTCGCAGCTGCTCCTTAGACAGACCCACCGTATGTACAATACCCGAAGGTATTGTACTTCCGCGGCTCGGAGCCCAAGAAAAGCATTCGCCAAGGCAATGGATTCAGAAAAGAGGACGGGTGTGTGTACGTAAAGCACGAGATATGCCGCCTTGTAGAATGCAGAGCCTCGGCTTGCTACGTGGGTTCAGACTGATAGAGGCAACTTCAATGGAGTTCTTCTAACCAGGTAATATTTGTACGAATTTGGCACGAACAGACAGAACTGCAGTCATTTGAAGGAGAATTCATTCAAACTATAGCTGAAAATTTTGCCATTACCCCCAAGCTTATATACTGTGCCACATTTGATGTGAAGGATACCCTTTTGTGGAATTAGGCGCCGCCCAAGTGTCCAGTTGACCTTCCATCGACTCGGAAGTCCTAGAATGTCCATGATATCTATCCGCAACTCATTGAGGCTGATGAATTTCCTGGAGTCTCTCCTAGCTGAGCGCTGACACACAGCTCCCTCGATCCTCGGTGCCGAGAGGATTCTTGGCGCCTGGTAAGGCGTCCAATTGAATCTGAACCCGCTGTCATAGTCAAGACTCGGATCGCGGCAAGGGCCTCGGAGGAAGTGAGTCTGTACGCCCTCAGAATACAGAAGAAAATCCTCTGGGTACAGGTCCCGTTTGAACTGGAGGAGGCTGACACCCAGAATTTTGCTGCCCAGCGTCCACATTTCCCAAGCTGACTTTTGCCAACCTCTTACATCGGTTGTTATGGAAGGCACTATACACGGCAAGCTTTGTAGAGGTAGCACAAAAGATGCAGTCAGCTTATGTTTTTGCTTCTTGTCACCGACGGTGCTGGTACGTAACATTTTGAGCAATAGGTATAGAGGACCATGATCCGCGCGCCGCCGTGGCGTTTTTCTCTTGTTGCCGTCTCGAGATGGAAGTTCGCGGGCTTGCAGCGCCCCCGATATGGGCGCCTCAGGTGCTTGTGAGTGTAAATTGCAGGCAGACGCAAACTTGGTGATTACTTTGATTGCTTCATTATGAATCCACGTCGTGCAATTTAAACATCAGCCATTTCCTCGTACCTGTCAACGGGAAAAGACCGAAAGTCAAGCCCTGTATCATACGTCTCACCATGGGCGCCGTGCTCGCATCTATCCCGTCGGACAAGCAAGACTCCGATCCCAACGGCCCGGCCCTGCCGCCGCCGCCGGGCGTCGTGCCCAACTTTGACGATCCGCCAAACTCCAACACCATGGCCCGCGCGGTCATGTCTACTTGCCTAGCCATCGGCTCGCTCTTTTACCTCGTCAGGATCTATGGGACGTGGTTCGTGGTCAAGAAACCCCGGTCAAGCGACTGTACGCCCTTTGCATATTTCGTTTGTGGGAGGTTCAAAGTGGCCAGACCAATGCTGACTCTTTGCTCTGGTAGATGTCATGATTCCAACGTTTGTACGTCAATATCTACCTTTGGATGCCGTACACTAGTGGCCAGTCATGCTGATACTGGGAAATATCAAGATTATATACCTTGCCTTTATAGGTGTGTTCTTCGCCGAGGGCAGATACGGATTCTTCGTCCACCTATGGGACATTCGTCTCCGAGACCTGCCACCGATAATCTACGTGAGTTTCCCAACAGACCATCATCGTCGCTCCGAATCCAACTCCTGAGTTTTCTCCCACAACCCAGCTCTGGACCTGCCGCGTCACCCTGTACGGCGCCGAGCTCATGACGATCAAGACGGCCATCCTGCTGGAGTGGCTGCACCTCTTCTGCCCAACGGGCGCGCGCAACCGCTTCTGGTGGACCGCGCACATTCTGCTGTACGCCAACATCGTCTTCTACTGCGCCGCCATCCTGGCGCTACACCTCAGCTGCGTGCCGCACGCCCGGATCGTAAGCAACTCCCGATATTCTCATCTGACCCACTCTCATGAGCACAGATTCTCCGGTATAGTGCTATCATAGGGGAACACGGACATAGCGCCCACAAGAGCGACACGAACGTCATTTACCACCTCGAGAAAGGCTATCACTGACACGCGCTGTTGTAGTGGGACAAGACGGTGCCGGGACGGTGTGTAGACACCAGGCCGCTCGACATCGCCTCGGCGATTGTCAACTTTGTTGTTGATGTTGGCATCCTGCTGCTCCCGCAGCGCGTCATCTGGAGGCTGCGCATGTCGACCCGGAAGCGGATGGGCGTGTCGGCCGTGTTTGGTCTGGGGATTGTGTACGTTTTGTTTTCTTTTCTCTCCCTTGGCAAACGTAATCGTTCCCTGTCATACATGACGGTAATCCAGCATGGTATGGTGATAAATACTAAATCCAAAATCAAAACAGCGTTCTCGTATTCGCCGGGACCCGCACCGTATTCACCATAGTCCGCGCCTCGGCCCCGTCCGCGTCGGCCGATTTTACTTGGAACGCGTCGCTGATGGGCCTCCTGTTCGCCGTCGAGGTGACCCTGGGAGTCGTCATTTTCTGCCTGCCGGTGGTGCCCAAAGCGCTAGACGGGTTTCCGGCGTGGTGTGCCAGGCTCAAGTCTTCGCTGAGAGGTGGTCGGTTTTCGTCGTCGGGCGCGTCAAGAGAGGACAGGACGCCGCCTTGGCCCCGTTCCTCGTGGGCTCCCGTCGCCAACAGCCACAGGAAGAGGGAGCTGTCTGTGTTCGAGGAGGGTGGGATGCCTGCTTCGCTTGGAAATCATAGAGGGTGTTCTTCCGAGACGTGGTCGAGCTCGCACAATGATTCCATTCGATATTTTTCAGATGAGCAGTATGCATTGACGCAATGGGCAAAGCGCGACAACAGCCATGATGGGAGGGTCAATCATGAAATGGAAGCATAGGTATCTTCTTGCATTAGACAGTTGTGTTACTAGTTGGCCTTGCAGAAAAAAATTAAATATTGGCATAAACCAGACATAACAGACCCCAATTCCCATATTTTCAAAGACAAAACGTAACAGAAAGAAGAACAAAGCTTAAAAAAATACAAAAAAAAATTGGTGCGAACAGAGGTTCGAGAGGTAGATTCTTCCAGTCCTCCGAGGGTCGAGTCTGCCGTCAAGAACCTGTGGTCTGTCGCATCTGACCACTAAGCCAGAAGGCCTAGTGGTCGTTGAGAACTTGACGGCGAGTTGCACATTATGTGTCTTCCCTCGGCGGTCGGCTGAATTGGACAGGAGGACGTCGTGTCGGGTAATCATTTTAGACGGCTGCCCGATGGACTGACGCGGTCACCGAGCCCACGCTGTACTGGTGTGGGCACATCAAAAAGAAGGAAAACACAAAAAAGAAGACCATCGAGGATAGTGTTTAGCACATGTAAGTTTCGATCTTACGTCCTTCGGAATTCATAATCTTTTGTGTTTATGAGTCCGACGCTCTACCACTGGGCTAAAGTGCTTGGAATATTATCCTATTTGCTTGTAGGGAACTTGTCATGCGTTTTATTCTAGACACAATGAATTTGATGTGCTCTTTCTTGTGTGCGTATGCCTTGAAAGGGTGTCCTTGAGTCAGACAAGAGTGACTCATGGTGAGGCTGAGGACGTCTTTGGCTGCGCCGCTTCACTGCGCTGGTAGCTACGCACAAGGACGCAATTCTTGACTTGGAGACAATGGAAAATCACAGCATCAAGTCATCTCATGGTACAAAGTTGTTCATTTCATGTACATTGCGGTTCGCACCCTATGTACGGCTGTATCTGAAATCCGAAACCTGGTGCCGCGGTGCCAAATGCCAAACCACAAACTCCATATCTCTCCTCATCTCTTGAGAACTGTCTGCATTCCGGGGTATCGTCCTCATTCCATCGCTTGTAGTACTTTTTCAATAGCTGTCGTATCTTTTCGATAGCTTGTACTTTTCCTTAGATCAATCCTTTATTGTCGTCAACTCATGCAGCGGCGACCTTCTTGACGCCGCCTCGGCGACGAGCCTTGGCAGCACCGCGGCCAGCAGGTCCCTTGCCGATCGGGATTCTAGCCACGACGGAAGACAAGAGATCGGCGACCTTCTCGCCGTCCTTCCAGAGCTCGCCGACGTTCTGCTTTCGGCCGCGTGCCTCCTTGACATACTTCATGGGCACGACTCCGTCCTCGTTGCCCTCGGTGAGGACGACTCCGTTGGAGCTCATCCACCACTTCATGTCGGTCTCCTCGAGGCACTTGGCGACGTCGACAAAGACCAGGATCTCTGCGTCGTTACGCATGCCGCTGATGACCTTGGGACTGCCAGCCTTCTTGGTAGGCTTCTCCTGAATCTCGTCGCTGGCGTCGTGGACCTGAGAGTCGTTCTTGCCATCGTCGGGCAGACCGGTGCCAAAGTGGACGTGGGTGCGATCCATCTTCTTGAGGCCGCCGCTTGCAACGATCTGCGGCCAAAAGGCAAAGTAAGTTCCGTGAACAACAATGTCCGGGATGTTACCAGACTCGAGAGTGATGGGCGTGTGGAGGCCCTCGCTGTCAAGTCTGATACTATGTCCTTGGTTTGCGCGGATGAGCCAGTCCGCCGGGTTTGTGGATTCGGGGTCATCTAGACCCTTGATGGGCTTCATGCTGAAGCGCTGCTTGGCATTGTCTGCGACTGCCCTCTGGATCTCTGCAAAGGTGGGCTTGAGAGATTTGAGTCGAGACCAATGAAGCTGTGACTTTTGTTAGTATGATAATACTCTTGCGATAATATGTCGCATGTTGAGTAATGATGCGATGATAAAGTGCCCAAAGTGGCGGTAGTAGTGGCGGTACAACAGAGGCGGTACAATAGAGGCGGTACAACAGAGGCGGTACAATAGAGGCGGTACAACAGAGGCGGTATAACAGCGACTCGATGGGATGGAAATGAAAATGACTATGCAAAGGAAAGAACTCACGACATGGTCCAGGCGGGCGAAGCCCTCACCGTCGAGCTCGACACCGGCCTCCTCAGCCTTGTGGCGCAGCAACATGCTCAGCGCCTTGCTGATATTCAGATCGCGCTTCTGCTGCTCGGTTCCGGCGCCGGGCGTGCGCTTCTGACCTCCGTTCTTGCCCTTGATGGCAAGAGCCTCCATGCGATCCTGGGTATCGGCGAACTCCTCGTTGACCGCCATCTTGTGATAGTAATGATGACTGCGACAACAAAATGGCTTTGTTTGATGGTTATTCGGCAAAGCCTTCTTGTCGGCGAGTGGTGAATGTGAAGATGAATGCGCCTGTTTGCGCAAGTCGTCAAGTGAGGTTGTGGTTGAGGACCAGGTGGTGTAAGAAGGTGGGGTGCTGCGAGTCCGAGTTGTGACCAGAGAAAGAACCCGTGCTGCTGCTTGAATGGGAAACCGTGCGCGCGAGGTCGAGAAGAAGCCTCTGCTGCTGGCGGTAATGAACGCCAGATTGTTCTGATTGTATGATCTTTCTTGTCGCAGGTTGTCACCAGAAAGGTTGGAGTGTCCTGTATTGTTCAAGGAAACCGCCGAGCTGCTGAAGGACAACTCGACTATGAATATTTGATGGAGTTGGGTGGGACGAGGTGCTTAGCCGCGTTTGCTCAAGAACTTGGCGGGGCTCAGGATTAAAAAAAAAAAAGTATTGATTGAACCTCCAGCCCGCTTCTGGTTGCCCGCCACAGCCAGCCAATCAATCTGATTGTTCGGCCTGTAAAAGGCAACCAGGCGCAAACACCGCTTTTAGTACCAGCCCCAAAAGCTTTTCATCAAGGTATTAATTATTCCAATCTCGACGCCGGCTGAGTCACCCGTTTGCTGCAGCCCTCGAAAACGTCCCCGGGTCAGAGGCTGGAGGGGTCAACAAAGAGAGTCTAGGTTAATTCATTATGAATCATGATGCATCATTCACACAGAAGACTAGGTTACCACTTTACAAGTTAAAATCCATTGCGCTGGATTATCAAGTTGCTGTATGCCATCGAGGAACCAAGTACGCTATTCATACTTGACTGCCCGGGCGTTTCTTTCTCTTGAAATCTCCTTCTTGACTCTTGCGCTCGTCTCGGCAAGGTCTTTTTCAGGATCGGTGGCAGAACACTGAGTTGATGAGTCTCTGGATCAGTCGTGTCCATAGCTACTCCAAAATGATGTCTTGTCGGTCGCGCCATATTGAGCGCCATGCCATGCATTTTTCGTCCTGTGTCGTTGAAATTCGTTCCGAAGCCCTGGCAGTATGCCATCAGTGCCCAGGTCGCCTTCCTCCAATGCCCTTTTTGGTATACACAACTGCTCCAAATATGTTACAAAGAAATGCCCATGGTCAAAGACGCTCTACTAATGAATACTGAAAGGACAAAGGAAATGTATGGTTTCCGGACAAAATGAGGGGATTCCAAAAAATAGAATGATGAGAAACAGGGCTGTCCAAAGCGAACCGCCCCTACAAGTAAACTCCTCCTGAATGCATGAACGTCGGCGTCGTAAGAATTCGTAATGCCGGGTCTTATTAGTTTACAGTCCCAATTCCATCAATCATTGCCCATCATCACCGGTAGCCAGTCGACTGCCCCGCCGAATTGCTGGTCATTACGCTGTCGCGCAGCCTTCTTTGGAGGCTGCCGTTGCGGCCGGGAAGGCCACTCTGACCTCCTGAGAAAGCCCGTTGTCCGCGATCTTCTGCCAGTTTCTCGGCCAGGTTGTTGCTTTCGCGATCTGGCGTTTCCCTTTCCATGTATCGCCGCGACGCAAGACCACTGTTTGTGGTGGGCTGAATACGTGTGTTGATCGTTGATAAGCCCAGGCGTCGCCGCTGCATCGGTGAGGCACCTAGACCAGCAGATTCCATAGAAGCCATGGGAATCTGAGGGTTAAATTCCTGTGCCACAGGAGGGCGAGGTCCTCCTGACAGCTCCGTGGCAGTACGGGAAACAGCCCGAATCCGCAATGATCTATCGTCCTCTTCGTCGTCGTAAACGTTCCGGCGGGTTCGCAATAACGAGGATCTGCGTCCAGCTTGCTCATCTGCCTCTTCTGTTCCTCCGCGGCGCGACCTCAGTAGAAGGGAAGACTTGCGGCCATGGCCGTAGACAGAGCTAGATGCAGAGCCGCCGCCTTCTTCCGGCTCCTCCGTTCCGCCCCTGCGAGAGCGCGGTACCAAAAGCGAAGTCCTTCGGCCTGTGACCTCGGTAGGTGTCACGGGAGTTTGCGACGAGTAGCGGGAGCTCGGGCTCGGGAGCGCACTTGAGAAGAGCATGCTGCTGCGCCTCTCTTCAAGTCGCGACATCGCTCGAGGGCTACTGACAGCTTGAGTTACGGGACTTCGGTCCTGGAGAACATTACTCGAGCGTCGAGAGCCGGCGCCTCCCGAAAATCGTGAAATCATGGGACTGCCAGCGAGCCCAGTCTCCAGGCTTGGCAGTGGGATGTCCTGCGGCTGCGGTTGCGGCTGCCTGGGTTGCGGCTGATGCTGATTTTCACTGAGTGCCAGGCATAGTTCCGTCAGATTGCGACATATACTCTCGGCCTTCCTCCGCAACTGCCGATCCGTCACTGCGGGGCCTCCGGTGTTGCTCGCAGCGCTAGAGACAGGGCCAGGCTCGCCAATCTTTCCAATCATGGTGGATAGAGTGATTGCATCGGATGCCGCATTCTCCAAAGCGTTGTATATTTCCGGAGGTAGCAAGGACTTGGACTTGCTCATGGCAGATTGCAGGAGGGGCTGGCACTCCTTGTATCCGTATGAGGATGACACAGTACTCACTGCATCTGTTTGTGGCACAAGCTCCCCATTGTGTTTGGGCGATCCGGACATGGTGGTCGCATTGGTAGTGGCCGTGGGAGGCCGCTCTTCCGAAGCTCTCGACATGGCTGCACCGGACGTGGGCGGGAGCTTTCCAGTCAGCTCGAGCCGCTGGATGCGAGATCTTATATCGTCTATCTCATCCCAAACGGTCGAGGGCGCCGCAGTCGAGTTCGAAGACTCCGTGTGGTGGTCGCCGTTCTGCGTTTCTGGTTTTTGGACCTCCATTGTCTTGGGTGCTAGTGGTGAGGAGTTGAAAGTTCGGCCAGAACTAAATGCGGAGGCAGCAGACTGTTTTAGGGACGACATGCGCGAGGGTAGCGCAGCTGTGCTATCAGCGTTGGACTGCCTTCTCCGACTATTCGAAGTGGTCGACTCTGCAGGCGGCTCCTGGAATGTCAGAGTTCGAGGTGTGATTGGCGAGACCCGTGAATTGTTCTTTATGTCAGTGGTTCCATTCGCCAAAGAGCTTCGGAAGGTGAGAGCGCGAGCTGGTCTCTCGGCTGCCTGGCCCTCTCCCCTCGACTTTGATCTCGAGTTCTCCAAATCAGACATGCGCCGCGAAGCCTGAGTGGGGGACATGGGCTGATATGGCGGTATTGCTGAGGAGAGTGGCCGTCTATGTGCTGATCGGATGACTCGCGACTGCATGCTTCGTTAGAATCAATCAAGATATTATTCATG